GCTGATCTGCTCTAACCCTGTCAGCCTGTCTCCATTGCAGAGATGCTCCAGCCCTCTGTTCATCTTTGTGGCCTCCTCTGGACTTGCTCCAACAGGTCCATGTCCTTCTCATGTTGGGGCCCAGAGCTGGATGCAGCACTGCAGGTGAGGTCTCACCAGAGTGGAGCAGAGGGGCAGAATTCCCTCTCTCAACCTGCTGCCCACACTGCTTTGGATGCAGCTCAGGACATCTGGTTTTCTGGGCTGCAAGTACATACAGCTGGGTCATGCCAAGCTTCTTGTCAACCAACATCCTCTAGTCTTTCTCTGCAGAGCTGCTCAAAATCTCTTTTCCTCTGTTTTGCTGAACCTCTGTCTTCTTGCAAAACAATTACAAGGCCACATCTTGCAACAGGCTTACATAAGTGGCTTCCTTCAGAGAGAAGAACAAAGGTTAGGCAGCTATGGGCAACCCTGTGCAAATTCCTGCTCAGGAAGGATGTGGGGAAGAGCTCCTAAGCATCCTGTGATCAGCTGTAGCAAGGCTCCTGCTCAGCCCTACAACACTTCTGCTTGGACAGCTAAGCAGGGTAGAGAGCAGTGGAAACATCTTGAGCGCTCATCACACAGTTGTTCTTATAAGTAAATCATCTACCTACCTATTCCAGAAGGAAGACAAACATACACCAGACTAAGGCTTCCTGGAGTGAGAATCCTCAGAAAAGCAAGGTGACAAGCAAATCAGGACAAAAAATCATTTTGCAGACGACATCTATCCTGAAGGCTGAAGGTTGGATCTCTGCTGTTGAATACAGGATTCATCACTTAACAAACTTGAAAATAAATAAATAGAAGGGGATGGAGGAGCTGCAAACAACCACCCACGTTCACATCCAGTCGTGAAGAGTTGCAGCTCTGTGTAATGAAACTTCTTCCCAGGAAGGGATTTCACAGCAAGTGAAAATAAAAAAAAAAGGACAAAAGGATTCACAAGTATTAACAGATGCCAAAATTAGATACAGTTAGCAATTTGGAAGCCAAAAGGTCAAAAAAAAGGCACATCTGGCCCATGAGTAATTCAGGAGGAATTTGTTTACACAAGGACAGTGTCTGAGAGAATGAACTGCTGCAGTCAGCATGGAGACCATGGGCTGAGCACAGGAGGCACCCGAGGTCACCCAACAAAACGGAACCAGCAGAGGAGAGAGGTGGACTCAATCCTGGACATTCAGTTATAGGCCTCTGCCAACTTTATGATCAGATCATGTTTTCTGGAATTAGCCTATTCAACAGGATTATTTTGGAAAATTTACCACTGAAGAAATAAGCACAGTCCAAGGCCTGAAGAAAGTTTTTGACCCAGCAGTGTAGGAAGAGGCCTAAATGTCAGTCTTAACCAAAAGATGCATTTTGAGTCACAGGTTACTTACTTGTTTCAAAGTCCTCTCTGCTGAAGCACTGCTTCACTTTATGAAGGTCTGATACGCTTATGAATTTGGTATCTCCACAACTGAGTGCCATTTAACTTCAAAGGAGCTAGAGATATTAAAAACATTTGTGGTCTGGAATTTTAGAAGAGCAGAAAGAAATCTCAGCAAGAGTGTCAGAGGACAGCCCTGCACCTCTGCCCATGTCTTCCAAACTGCACTACCAAGGGATTACCAGCTTTTGAGCCTACCTGCACATCCACTCATGTGAGCAGGTCTGAGTCCTACCAGGAGCTCAAAAGTAAGCTGCATACTTATAAATTGTGTGGTTGCAGAATTTACAACTGAAGAGGCAGGAGAAACACTTCCCCCATCACCTGTAAGCTTATGTTCTGCTGCACCCATTACCTCTCACCTGGATGCCCTTAGTATGAGATAACCAGACCACACACAATCCTTGCAGCCTGTACATTTCACTGCCTTTTGGCCATCTGAAGCCCCCACTCCCCCTATCCAAGACAGCTTTGCTGCTGAGGTACTGCAACACAAACAAGCTTTAAGGTATTTTTTTTTAGAAAGCAGAGGCTTAGGCTAAGGTCTTACCAGACTCCTCCTTTGCAAAGTAGTATTTTGCACAAAGTTACAACATGCCTCCAGAAGGTTTGTTTAAACTTTAAGCAAAGAATCTCTTTATCAATGAATATTCCCTATTTTCCATAATATCACGTGGAAAAACTGTTTACCCTCTTTGCTTATGCTACAATGCTTTTATTCATAATTTTCAGAGTACAAATTTAGATGAACACCCAAGCACTCTCTAACAGTCCATGTGACATCAGCCATTCAGCATTTACTCACAACACTCGACCATACACAGTCGACAATAACAGCCAATCTGTCAGATAATGAAACACATGTTCTTGCACACTCACTTCAGCTGTAACTGCACATACAAAGCTTTCCTAGCATTTGTGAAAAAAAATAAAAATCCACCACCAAACCCCCAAAATGAAACACATTATCTGCCCTCTCTGGACAAAATAAATTGTATGATTAAAGTTTTCACAGCATACTAGAACTGTGAACACATCTTTTGGTCTGATCCTACACAGCTCTTCATACAGACAGACCCAAATGCTTAGTTACTGACCCCAGGCAAGCATAAGATCCCACACTTTTGAAATAACATCCAAAATCCATACCTCCTATTCTGACATTCCTTTAGGTCATCAGCATTCAATATTGCAGTCCTTTAGATTCTACATCAAAGCAAACCCACCCATAGGAACAAAACACAGGACTGCAAGACTTCATTTCTTCCCATCAGCTTCATACCACACACATCACAAGTGCTGGCCCTTAACTTTTCAAGATGATTATGCAACACTTAATAGCAACAATTGTTAGCTTCTAGTTTAAGAGAAAGCATTTATTTCAAAGCTTCTACTTCTGGTCTAACATCTATAGTATCACACCCATGCTAACATATTTATAATTCACTTCTGACAGCTTCAGTGTTTTATCATGCTTTCATGTCTATGGTTTTAAGCCACATGACTGCAAATCCTGCTCATTGTGACCTTCTCTTTCATTTGCATTAGTCCTTGCAAGACCAATTTTACTTTCAAAGCAAGATGCATCTCCCGAGTCTCATACATTTACAGAAAACACAAACAGATGGGCAGAGCAACTTTGAAGTTTACATCTATTGTTGCAAACAAGTCCAATATCGATTCATCAAGAAATTGAACCAACTGCCTGAGAAATCAGCATCTTCTAAAGGCTCCAGTCTCCCTCTGCCTCTGGAAGTGAAAACTGATTCAGAGCATGTTAGTCTTCAACCTCACCAACCTTGACAATGTTTCAGGACTCTTAACCCACAGGTTATTTAGGATTCTTTTTCCTTCCTATTCACCTTTATGACAAATTAGTTTTGAAATCTGTGTTCAGTTATTCTTTCTCACCACTTGCACGTAAGTCTTATTCTCCCCACAAGAAACCAGATCCTGCACCAAGTGGTTTTACATAGCCACTGTTTTCATTAGTATTTGTGCTTTCGTTACATTTAACAATAAAATTATACAGCTACACAAAAGCTTAAGTTCTCCTTGGAAAAATATTTTCTCTGGGACTTAAGGGTAAAAAACGATTCAAGATGTGTCAAGTATAGTGTTCACATATTTCAGGGGTACCAAAACCAAATAATAACCTACATGACTATTTTAAATGCAGTTACAACCTGAAATATCTGCAAAATCATGGTATTATTCAAGAAGAATTCTGGCTAACACGACAGTAGAGAAAGATGAAGCAGCTCCACTTTTCATTGAACAAGAAGGTTACCTTGGCACAAAATCAAAATCCACAGGTGTCAGTTTCAGATTTGCTTTTCATGGGAAAAGTAACCACCTCAACTACACAAACCCCACCAAAATAAATAATGCATTATTAAAAAAAGCAAACATTTGGCTTAAAACAAGAAGGAAATTAATATATAGTGAAATTTAAGTCCTGCAGTGAGTCATAGCAGTGACAGCAGAGCAGTGACAGCAGAGCTGTCACTTTATTTATTCCCAAATAAAAATATTGCTATGTTTGACAGATAACAAGTTTAGTAGCCCAGTAAAGAAAATCTAAGTTGATAAGATCAAAGACACTGCCACAGAGCAAGAGATGTGGGCTAGAAGCTTACCCTTCAGTTGGGGCAATGTCACTCATGCATAGACCCCCTGGCTCACAAACTGCTTATTAGCTTACAGCTCACACTGAACAAGATTTACCAAAAACCAGTCACACTAATAACATATTGCAGAATCCTATAAGTATACACAAATGTATCAAAAATGTCCAAAGATTGACAAGACAAAATACAGAACTTGAAATTAATCATCACCATGTGCAAAAACTGTAACTCAAATGGGCAGCAGCTTTAAAGGGTCACTCTCATAACAGCCACAACACCCAAACATCACTTCTACACTTGTATCAGTGCATCACACCGAGTTACTCGGTGGATCTATCCCTCAGATACCAGCAGAACTCAAACGTCTCTCAACACATATTTCAGGGAACAGATATGAACTGATGCCTCCAGGTATGCAGGAAAGAAGCTCCAGTACAATATATCACCTGTTTGTCATGTGTTCAGCCTATGCACAGTGACTTCATTTGCCTTTGCTGATTGTCAGTGAAAAGATATTGTGAACACTATCAATTTTCAGGACTGACACCGTCCTAAAGCATTCATATCAGTTAGGAAAACCAACTTCAACTGTTGCTCACACCTGCTTTTTGTGAATGATCACTCAAGCCTACCACACATTCTTAAACACAGGCTGTTAATAAAAAACTGCATCTATACATGCACTAAATGCATTTCCCTTTTTAAAATCATTATAGATAATTTTCCTATAAAGTAACTACAGTTAAACAATAGCAAACAATACAAGATTGGTTAAAAACAGGTATCTTGCAGCTCAAATACATACCAAGGAAAGATGGTTCTATAGTTCAACCACCTGAAAGTCACATGCTCTCAAGCTGCAGAAAGGGTTCCAAAAAGGAACTCTACATGATTGCTGTTTGCTGACCTACCCCAGTGTGATGGGTCCCATCCACACTGCTGCCAAATTTCTGTGTTTTCACTACATCACTGTCATCTGCTGCATCAAAGTTAGTCTTCCAGACCATCACCTGCAGAAGAAAGATAATTCCATTAAAATTTTCCATCTAAGTTTCCTTGAAGGTCAATTTTGTTAACACATCAGAGAAGAGTCAGCAGATCCACACAAAGTTAACCTAGGAAAGCTTTGCCATTGACGAAGGATGCTATTTGCAAATATGCTACCGAATACAGACATAGCTAAACTGAGTTCTCAAAGCATGATCTCTTTCAGCATTCCTTGAGTCAAGAACATCATGAAACTAGAATGACTTAAGGAACTTTAAAACAAAATGCAAATATATTCAGAATTACAACACTAAGCACAGTATTTTATCTGTCACACGTCAACCAACTAGTCACTGGTTTATCATGAAATTCATTCCCAGGTAAAGGAGAGTTAGTACTCTGAGACCAGCATTAGAGACCTTGAGCTAGTTTGTCAGCTGAACACAAGACTTAAATCTCACTTACAGCACCTGCTCTCCATAACACAGTACTGATTTCAGAACAAAGGCCTCTAAAACATAAATTACTTCAACATACCAAGAAGAAATCTATGGAGTAAAACTCTTAGCAGTGGCTCTACACATCTAAAGAAGTTCAAGAGCAATCAATCAACTATTTCAGAGGTCTGAAAAACACAAGAGCCCAGGCAGCTCACCTTGGTTATCAAGATCTAGCCAGTGGCAGGTCAGGAGACAATTGCCTGTAATATTCAAGGCATTTCATCACAGCCATTTGTACACCCACCTGACTTATTCTCCAGGAGCAGGTGGCTCAGAAAGGCACACAACAAGGGCCAAATATAGGATAGTATTTCCTCTGTTGTACATACCCATTCCCAGACAATCCAGTTGAAATGCTGCCTCAGTAAGAAAAGTCCATGTTTAATTTCTCTCACTATACTGAATACTTTCTCTCTCTTTGATAGCAGAAAGATGCCAAGGAACAGTAACAAGGCACAAACCCATCAAATTAAACTGGTCAGATACCTGTTCATCAGACCCTCCGGAGGCGAAGAAGTCTCCAGCTCTTGAAAATGCTACACATGTAGCTGGGCCCTGCAAACAGATTTAAAAGATAGCTTTAAATAAAATGTGAAAAAACCCGAAGTCTTACAAAGCTCTGTTCATTACAACTGTGCAAGATACTTCTCATTTGACATCAGCAAACGAAAGGCAAAATTTTTGAAGCCCTCACCTGTGAAGTATGTGAGCCACAATTAATAGACTAAGCTTGCTGGCACCTACCATTTCCCACACTTTCGCTCCCAGTTTAAGATACCCACTTTTCAATACACATGGCATCAAGACAGAAACTAAACCAAGTTTTACACCTTCAGGCTTTTCCTTGTTCCCCCTCAATCATTCCCACTTCCCTTTAGAATTAGAAATTGCTAAAACTCCTGTCCAAAGCCATCAATTTGCATTAATTACTTTGGCCACAGTTAGAACCATTTTAAACAATCTGTCCAAGCAGAGTAACTGAAGGGATAAGACTCAGTATTCAGGGCAGAATCCAATCACTCATTTTGTCTGAGACTTGGCAGTCAAGAAGCTCACATATTTCTCAGCACAGGAGGAAGAAAAAGCCAAGGCTACCACCTGAAGAGCACTGATGAAAACAACTTATTAGGTTTATGTGGCAAGGTTCTGGTAGTGGGTGGGCTACAGGGGAGGACTCTTTGAGAAGCTGCTGGAAGCTTCCCCCATGTCTGGCAGTGCCAATGCCAGTCAGCACTAAGACAGACCAGCCACTGGCCAAGGCCAAGCCAGTCAAAAATGATAGTAACTCCTCCAGGAAAACATATTTAAGAAAAGGTTATCACACAGAAGTAGTAATTGTGGCCAGAGTGAGAATATGTGAGAGGAACAACACTGCAGACACCAAGGTCAGTGAAGGAGGGGGAGGAAGTGCTCCAGCTGCTGGAACAGAGATTCCCCTACAGCCCATGGGGGTGCACACCATGGTGAAGCAGCTGTGCCCTTGCAGCCCATGGAGGTCAACAGGAGTGGAGAGATCCACCTGCAGCACATGGAGGAGAATATGTGAACAACACTGCAGACACCAAGGTCAGTGAAGGAGGGGGAGGAAGTGCTCCAGCTGCTGGAACAGAGATTCCCCTACAGCCCATGGGGGTGCACACCATGGTGAAGCAGCTGTGCCCTTGCAGCCCATGGAGGTCAACAGGAGTGGAGAGATCCACCTGCAGCACATGGAGGAGCCCCATGCTGGGCCCCAGTGGATGCCCGAAAGATGGTTGTGACCCCATGGGAAGCCTGTGCTGGAACAGAGTGCTCCAGCTGCTGGAACAGAGATTCCCCTACAGCCCATGGGGGTGCACACCATGGTGAAGCAGCTGTGCCCTTGCAGCCCATGGAGGTCAACAGGAGTGGAGAGATCCACCTGCAGCACATGGAGGAGCCCCATGCTGGGCCCCAGTGGATGCCCGAAAGATGGTTGTGACCCCATGGGAAGCCTGTGCTGGAACAGCCTGTTCTTCAGGGACTGCACCCTGTGGAAAAGGACCCACACTGGAGCAGTTCATTGAACTGTAGACTCACATTGGAGAAGTTCATGGAGGACTGTTTCCTGTGAGAAGGACCCCACATGAGAGCAGGGGAAGGACTTCTCTCCCTGAGGAGGAAGCCACAGCAGAAACAGCATGTGATGAACTGACTGTAAGCCCCATTCCCTACAGTGCTGGGGGGGAGAAGGCAGAGAACTGGGATTAAAGTTAACCCCAGGAAGGAGGTGGGGGAAAGGTGTTCTTAGGATTTGTTTTACTTCTCTCTATTCTGCTCTGATTTTGATTGGCAATAAATTCAGCTAATTTCCCCAAGTCCAGTCTGTTTTGCCCATGATGGTAACTGGTGAGTGATCTCTCCCCATCCTTATCTCAACTCATGAGCCTTCATTATGCTTTTTCTCCCCTGTGCAGCTGAGGAGGGGAGTGATAGAGCAAGCAGCTTTGAGGGGCACCTGGCCTCCAGCCAGGGTCAAACTCACCACAAGAACATGTCACTGAGCAGCAGACAGAGCAGCAGCAGAATATACTGTATTTGTACACTGGCTTTACTGCATTCTGTAGTACTACCTGGAGTTTTGCAGAAGGCAGCTATTCTCTTTGGAAACCAACTAACAGGACAAAGTCATCATGAAGGGACATCCAAAAGCATCAGAAACAAAACAGAATCACTGCTTCATATCCTCTTATGCTTGGAACATGTGGCCAAGCAACAACAGAGGCTTCATACCAAACGGGCACCTGCAGCAGCACAGGAGAATGCAAGCAGCAGGCAGACACCCCTTTACAATACTTGTCATTTTTAAGCTGCATCTTAATATTCTATGCAGGTTTGTGTTAGGTGTCAGGTTTTTAATTGCAATACAGAAGGTTGGTTTAAATTACTTTTAGTAGTTTTACAGAAGAGATGCCAGAGTTAATGCATCCAGGATCATCTTGGCACAAACAGAATCATTTTGAAGAAGCCTCACTTTTAAAAGTCAGTTCTGAGAGACTTTAAATGCTGCTGAGTGCTGCAGCACTGCCTGAGTAGCAGCACACATTTCACACCACACTCCTATTTTAATACATTTTCAACCTTTCAGCAAGCACACAGGAGGATGCTCATGGAAAGGGTGAGGCAGGAGCTCTGAGATGCAGTTAAACAGAGCTGGGAGATTGCTACATGTGTTTGAGCACAGGCACAACAGACAAACTGTTCTGCCTAGAATAAACAGCTGAGGACCCAGACCAGGGAGTTTTGTGTCAGCTACTGAACATATTCCTTTGCAGACTGTTCTAAGGCAAGAGCTTTTGCCCAAGCGCAAATGGGTAGAGGCAGGAATGAGAACATCCAGAGGTTGCCTGTGGAGCTGACAGGTTGGGAGGGGTAGGAGGAAACACCAAAAACACAACCAGAAAAGCCACAACACCCATCAGAAAACTCCACCACACAATCATACACCTCCTGACAGAAGCAGTTATCCTCTTTTCAAGTAAGATCATGTATCTCAGAAGGTGATACAGAATGAGGAGAATCTTCTTGAGTTGGAAGGAGAGACTATTCTATCAGGAATTCACATCCTCCTAATGGGCATCACAGGGAAATCTCACATCCAGTTTGTTTCTGGTTACCCTTCTTTCTCTCCTTCGTAAAAGTGAACTCATCATTATAAATCCTGAAGGTAAACAAACACCCAAAGTCTGCATCTGGGAGAAGCACCCAACTTGCACTGCAACCTGCATCCCACAGTCCTGGGGGCTTCCAACTGGCACAAGGTTATGCCAGCAAAGCTAGAGCCTTGATGTGGTCACTCTCAGTGTGAAGAGTTTTAGCTTCCTTAAAACACATTAAAGTACTTCCAAATTATCATTTCAGGTGCAGTGATGTCAAAAGGTTTTGAGGCCTTCTAATAGCAGCATCTCACTGGAGAGATCTTGCCATAAATGACCTAGTAGCAGCAATTTCAAAATGCATGAGCAGTCATTAGTGTGACCAAGCTTGTTCAACTGATGCAGCAATAACTAGGTGGATATTTCAAACCAAAGACACTGCCATCAATCAGCTGAGACAAAGTGTGCCTCTGCCTTTATTCCCACCCACCTTCCCCAGCGTTCAGCTCTCCAACCACACTATTGGGAATGAAGGATCTGAAAAAAAAAATGCTAAAGCAAAAGACAAATAAACAGTAAGAAGGGGCAGAAAACTGCAGTGGTGAATACTACTCCAAGATAACAGAGCTGAGGATACAGAAGCTGTACCCTGTGTATAATAAACCAGTCAGAGTTAGGAAAGAAAAAAAAAGTAAGACAAAGTGTTCAGGAACAGGCACAAGTGAGGAACACTGGAGAGGAGCAATGTTTCCAAAAAATATTTTTATCAGTCTAAATATTTTAGAGTATTTAGACAAAATCTAGCACAACACAAATCACATCAAAACAGGCAATGAACTGACTCCAAAGTCATGGCATTCTGAAGGGAAAAAAAGTTCACCAGATCATGTTCCTCCCAAAATAGAAAATGATATCAAAAACTGAATGTGCCTTTATAAATTTAAAGAAAAGGAACAAACAAGTCTATAGACACAACATCCTCTACATCTTTGTTGACATAAATACAGTGAAACGCATTTTTGCTAAATACACTTACAGCACTCTGCCCGGATGTAACAGGTTTGCTATAGCAACATACAAATAATAGTTTGCCAAATACTATTGCAAGTTAATATAAACACACCAAACAAAAATAAAAAGCTACACTTGCCAGTGATTAGACACAGCCTAACCCCCATTTGTTCCAGGTAAGCACAGCAGAAATCCAACAGATTTCTGATGCAGTCCTGGTATGTGGCTGGAGGCTGATGAATTCAAATCTTCCTTCTTTCCCCCTGCTTTTAACTTACTGCCTGCATGGAAAGCATCAAAAAGTAACGGCTGCATATTCTTCTATAGAAGTTGTAGAGATAATTTTAAGCTTATTTCCCATGTAACTAGAACTTGTGGGATGCAGCAGACTTCTAAAGGATGACTCAGTTCCTTTCTGCAGCAGGATACAATCAATGGCCTTCTATTTGCATTTCCTGGAGGTTCAGAATTTCCAGTCTGCATCCCCAGTGTCCCAGGTCCTCCACACAAGCTGTTAGCACCAGTCCCCAAATTCCTGTATCTTCTTGGCTTAGACTAAACAGCAAGCTGCAGAAGAAATGGGCTGGACATTGAGACACATCAAGTCAGAAGTAAGGAAGATTTCTATTTAGCCCTCAGCAGGTCAACAACATGAGGCCTGTGAAGCTTTTGGGTATTTCAAATAAGAGTTTGAAATTACAGCAATAATTTTCGTGATACTGGGAGAAAGCTGCAGAAAGTTTGATGGAAAGTACAGAAGAGAATAAAAAAAGTCATCCACTGGATTTGTTGAGTGAGAAGAACATTGCCATTCATCAATATTTAACTCATCTCCTCTACAGAAAGAGTACCAGGCAGGGTGGAGAGAAGTCCCAGGCAGCCTTGAAAACAACAAAATGCTCAAACACTGGATGCAGTATGGAAACTGTG